TGTTATTATTATCGATCCATGTTATTATAGATCCTTGTTGTATTATAGATCCTGGTTATTATAGATCCATGTTATTATAGATCCATGTTATTATTATAGATCCATGTTATTATTATAGATCCATGTTATTTATCCAATGTTATTATTATATATCCATGTTATTATTATAGATCCATGTTATTATTATAGATCCATGTTATTATAATAGATCCACTGTTATTATTATAGATCCATGTTATTATTATAGTATATGTTATTATTATAGATCCATGTTATTATTATAGATCCATGTTATTATTATAGATCCATGTTTTATTCATAGATCCATGTTATTATTATAGATCCATGTTATTATTATAGATCCATGTTATTATTATAGATCCATTGTTATTATTATAGATTCCATTGTTATTATTATAGATCCATGTTATTATTATAGATCCATGTTATTATTATAGATCCATGTTATTATTATAGATTCCATGTTATTATTATAGATCCATGTTATTATTATAGATCCATGTTATTATTATAGATCCATGTTATTATTAGATCCTTGTTATTATGATCCATGTTATTATTTAGATCCATGTTATTATTATAGATCCATGTTATTATTAGATCCATGTTATTATTATAGATCCATGTTATTATTATAGATCCATGTTATTATTATAGATCCATGTTATTATTATAGATCATGTTATTATTATAGATCCCATGTTATTATTATAGATCCATGTTATTATTATAGATCCATGTTATTATTATAGATCCATGTTATTATTATAGATCCATGTTATTATTATAGATCCATGTTATTATTATAGAATCCATGTTATTATTATAGATCCATGTTTATTATTATAGATCCATGTTATTATTATAGATCCATGTTATTATATATAGATCCAGTTATTATTATAGATCCATGTTATTATTATAGAATCCATGTTATTATTATAGATCCATGTTTATTATATAGATCCATGTTATTATTATAGATTCCAATGTTATTATTATAGATCCATGTTATTATTATAGATCCATGTTATTATATAGATCCATGTTATTATTATAGATCATGTTATTATTATAGATCCATGTTATTATTATAGATCCATGTTATTATTATAGATCCATGTTATTTAGATCCATTATAGATCCATGTTATTATTATAGATCCATGTTATATCATAGATCCATGTTATTATTATAGATCCATGTTATTATTATAGATCCATGTTATTATTATAGATCCATGTTGTTATTATAGATCCATGTTATTATTATAGATCCAGTTATTATTATAGACCATGTTATTATTATATATCCATGTTATTATTATAGATCCATGGTTTTATGTTGTTATTATAGATCCATGTTTATTATTATAGATCCATGTTATTATTATAGATCCATGTTATTATTATAGATCCATGTTATTATTATAGATCCATGTTAATATTATAGATCCATGTTATTATATAGATCCATGTTATTATTATAGATCCCATGTTATTATTATAGATCCATGTTATTATTATAGATCCATGTTTATTATTATAGATCCAAGGTTATTATTATAGATCCATGTATTATTATAGATCCATGTTATTATTATAGATCCATGTTATTATTATAGATCCATATGTTATTATTATAGATCCATGTTATTATATAGATCCATGTTATTATTTATAGATCCATGTTATTATTATAGATCCATGTTATTATTATAGATCCATGTTATTATCATAGATCCATGTTATTATTATAGATCCATGTTATTATTATAGATCCATGTTGATTATTATAGATCCATGTTATTATTATAGATCCATGTTATTATTATAAGATCCATGTTATTATTATAGATCCATGTTATTATTATAGATCCATGTTATTATTATAGATCCATGTTATTATTATAGATCCCTGTTATTATTATAGATCCATGTTATTATTATAGATCCATGTTATTATTATAGATCCATGTTATTATTATAGATCCATGTTTAGTTATTATAGATCCATGTTATTATTATAGATCCATGTTATTATTATAGATCCATGTTATTATCATAGATCCATGTTATTATTATAGATCCATGTTATTATTATAGATCCATGTTATTATTAAGATCCATGTTATTATTATAGATCCATGTTATTATTATAGATCCATGTTATTATTATAGATGCCATGTTATTATCATAGATCCATGTTATTATTATTAGAGATCCATGTTATTATTATAGATCCATGTTATTATTATAGATCCATGTTATTATTATAGATCCATGTTATTATTATAGATCCATGTTATTATTATAGATCCATTGTTATTATTATAGATCCATGTTATTATTATAGATCCATGTTATTATTATAGATCCATGTTATTATTATAGATCCATGTTATTATTATAGATCCATGTTATTATTATAGATCCATGTTATTATTATAGATCCATGTTATTATTATAGATCCATGTTATTATATAGATCCATGTTATTATAGATCCATGTTATTATTATAGATCCATGTTATTATATAGATCCATGTTATTATATAGATCCATGTTATTATATGATCCATGTTATTATTATAGATCCATTGTTATTATTAGATCCAAATGTTATTTTTATAGATCCATGTTATTATAGATCCATGTTATTATTATAAGATCCATGTTATTATTATAGATCCATGTTATTATAAAGATCCCTGTTATTATTGTATATATCCATGTTATTATTATAGATCCTGTTATTATTATAGATCATGTTAATATTATAGATCCATGTTATTATTATAGATCCATGTTATTATAGTCCATGTTATTATAGATCATTTTATTATAGATCCATGTTAGTATTTTGATCAATGTTATTATTAAAGATCCATGGTATTATAGATCCATTTTATTATTATAGGCATCCATGTTATATTTATGAGCCATGTTTGGATTCTAGATCCATGTTATTATTTTAGATCCATGTTGTTATGATAGATCCATGTTATTATAGATCCATGTTTAATTATTATAGATCCATGTTCGTATTATAGATCCATGTTATTATTTTAGATCCATGTTATTATTTTTGATCCATGTGTTATTATAATCCAATGTTATTATTATAGATCCATGTTCATAATTTTAGATCCATTGTTAAGATTTTAGATCCATGATGTAATGTATAGATCCCATGTTATTATAGGCCATGTTTTATTATCATATCCATGTTCTATTATAGATCCATGTTATTATTATAGATAAATTATTTGAGAAAATCCTTTATATGGAGGCTGGGAAGAGTGCCGTGGATTCAGGTTGGATTCAAGTTGCAAAGTCATTGTGCTGTACTTAAGCAAACACTTTCGCCTAGTCGAATTATGTTAAATATTCAAAACATTTAAAGTATCTTGGTGATCCGGAGAAACAAGAAGACAGAGTGTATCGTGAGTAACATCTCTATAATCATTAGGTATGTAGTTTTGACAGATTGTTATTTTATATGGAGGCTAGCTTACAGTATGTTAGCTTTAGCCCAGCGGTTTTGAGGCGTTGCCTGTGACGCAGCTCGAGCCGTCGATGCATTCAAATTATTCAAACTATTTCAAACCTTTGCAGTATCTTATCTCTAATGCAACTTACCGGTCTGGGCAGTGTGTAAGAATCGGGACATCCAAACAAATAGCATGAAAAGGAGCTTCCCCATGACCGCTGTAGAGACTTGACCGCTTTGCAAATGGCTGCCACGCAACTCTGCGTCATTTCGTCATTGCGTTTACCTACGTATCAATGATTCATGCTTTGAAAGTTTAATAATAGTCAGGATCAGGATCAGTACATAGCAACATGTAAATAATATACATGTTTTATGATGATAATAGAGAATTACAAGTGAGGTCAGAACATGGTGGAAAAGAGACCAGCATCTCAGGTTTTGACAATCTCTGGTCTGGGTCACTTTAACCGGAAAATTCCACCATTGTCTTTGTTGATTTTAAAACAAGCAAACATTTTCTCACTAGTCACTTTTGAAACAGAGCTCCAAAGCATTTTCTCCCAAAATGAACCAGACCAATTGGTTTTCATTGGTGTTGCACTTTAAAGTGACTCAGCTCTGTCCAACGTAGCAAGCTCAGGGAATTAGAAATAAAACATCTACACAAGAAGGCCATGCATCCATCCATTTTCTTCCCTTTAATCCATTTCTGGGTCGGGGGGGCTCTCTGTACTGGGTGCAAGTCAGAGCTGCACCCAGTACACAGAGCACCAGCCCAAGAAGGCTTCCTAAAAAGAACGGTAATGGTAAATATTCTGTTATAATTTCTTGAGAAATGATTTCTGGGCATGTGTTATTTATAGTTAGTCCTATGAGAGCCATGTTTCAGTGACATTAATTCACATTTCTGGACATTCTATGAGTTTCTTCTTATTATGTATGTATGTAAAAAACCACTTTGTAAAGTCCTCCTACTTTTATGATGTAGGGCTATACAAAAAATATTTTAATTTAATTGTTTTCCAGGATGTTGCAATCATTGGTAGTAAGAGTAATAATTGGTCCATCAGTTTTAGAAAATAACCTTTGGTCCAGTTTTGGTTCTGTCCAAGTCACCTTTATTTATTTTATACATAATATCTCACAGACCAAGCTCACAAAAAACTGCCTCACAGTTTGGAGCAAAAACCTGTCATTTGTTCAGAAAATAATTTGGTCAAAATGCATACATGATGAAAATAATGGACAAAAAATGTATACTAAAAAAACTTTCCACAAAGAAAACAATGGAGACCCCATCCCCTTAAAAAACAGGGGTACGGTCGGGGCCCACTGCGCAAAGGCACAGTTTTGAACTACTCAAGAAGATCGATACTTAATCCCTTGTAGGAAAAATTCAGGACCCTCTGAAACATGATTATGATACGTCATGAGTAAATAATAAAACATAATAATAGAGAAAAAACATATGATGAGAAAAAGATCAGAAGTGGTGTTCTGTAGTGACCACTGTGATGTCATCAGTCCGCTCCTCCAATCCTATCGCTGTTTCTGCTGACATCATCATGACACGCCGCTCTTTCTTTTCTGAAAACCGTGGACCTATAGACAAAATAAATAAATCACAAGTTGGAGAAATAAAATAAAAATCACAAATCACACTTCTGTGCAACAAGTTCCAAATAGCATGTGCTGATTGGTGACCACTTTTATCAAGCTCAGTTGGTTTTGTTGCTAAAATATTGTGTTATAAGAAAGAAAGTCCTTTATTCGTCCCACAGTAGAGAAATATCAGTTTGATGAATACACATACTCTACACATTAAGGCATGCAGCGTACATTACTTCAGCGCTCCTTATGGGCAAAGTGGGTAAAGTGTCTTGCCCAAGGACACACCGGCAGCAGATATCAGAGGGAGTTGGTGGAGAAGGGCTCTCACCTATGGCTTAGGCTCAGAGGCCAATGCTCAACCAACTGAGCCACTGACAGACTGAACATATAACAGGAAAGATTGACAGCTGTATAAATAAGTATCTATCACTACGATAATTCTGCTCATCCAATCAGCTCTCAGCCCGAAAGCATCAAAAAGTGGCTTACAAGGGCTTTTTCTGAACAGTGATGTAAAAGATCAAATGTTTTCTAATAAGACAGAGTGTTGTGGTCTGATTTGTTCAAAGCATTTTACTTTTACATTACAAAAAACTTTCCCTGATATTATGTATCAAGTAAATGCAATCCAATCCCTCATCACTGGCCCCGCCCCCTCACCTGAGCGTGTGTGTCTGCACAGAGACAGCATGAGGACAGTCGACACCACATAAGGACACAGCACCAGCAGGCGACAGAGCACAGCCACAGCTAGGGGGCGCTGTGAGGGGGGAGAGAGCTCTGCTGAGGGTGACAGTGTCTCTGTGGAAAAGAGCGCGCCAGACATTGTGCGGGGCGGACTTGTTGTCGGAGGACCGAATTGATCTGAGGAAACCAAAACAAATGCAATTATGATGTGTTCAAACTAATGTGGCTCCAATAGTCAACCATTGAGATGAATGGTCTCATAGCAACAAGAGCCAACCTGGATCCCTGCTGCTGTCTTCTTTGTCTTATTTGGGTTGAATTTCCTTTCATTTTTTTTTTCTGTAAGCTTATAAACTAGAATCTATCATAATTTATGATAGATGTATTAATAATTTACAGTATTTACATACTATTTAACCTATAATAATACATACATTCCTTTTCACTTCTGTTGAAGCCTGAAATAGAGTGGGAAGAAGTCAAACTTACAAGCTCCCATCCCATATTTCTTAAATCCCCTTATACGGTGGCGTTTTAATTTTTATTGAGAACTATGGAAATAGTCAAGTCATATTCTCAATATTAAGTAATCAAGTCTCAAATGCCACATTGACTTACAGTTTATGGAGAGCCACAGTTGATTTCTAGGGCCCCCAATTGTTTGTTCAAAATACATCCATCCATCCATTTTCTTCCCCTTAATCCATTTCTGGGTCGGGGGGGTGGCAGTCAGAGCTGCACCCAGTCACAGAGCACCAGCCCCTCACTGATCCTCCTGCAGGTGGTGAGTCCACAGGAGCTCTAAGGCCAATGCTCTACTAACCCCTGCTCAAAATACACAATGCACTATTTATGAGGAAAAAAGTTAGGTACCTCAGCTTTAGGTACTTCTATTTTCCATATTTAGGCTCATGTGAACTGCCCTGTGATTGAACTTGAAGTTAAGCAGCTCTAAAGCAGCTCTAACCATACCTAGGACAGTGATGTTGCGGCTGCCCTTGATCTTGCCCTCTCCGCTCTCACACCAGTACCAGCCGCTGTCCATGGGGTCCATGTAGCGGATGAAGCACCGGAGCGGCCGTGGTTCGCCCCAGTGCTGACCACATCGCGTGCCCGAGTCCAGACGAGTTATCCGCAGCAAGATCCAGTCCGGCTCGTCACACTGCAACTCCACAGTCTCCCAACGGAAGAACACGGAGCGGTCTGGACTCACCTGCAAGCCTGAACCAACAAATGCACAAAAGACTCAGTTTGTTTGCCATTTGCAGTCACACCACATGGGAGTAACTGTGCAAGACTACCCAGGGTGCACCAGGAAAGTTTTAGATTCAGCCAAGTAGGGGTCAGAAGCTGTTACTCTTTAAACAGGGCGTATTGTGCTGGTGGCCATGCAGATTATGCTTTACAATTATTGAGAGCATTTGTCTTTCACTCCACACAGTGATGGGAGCATACAAGATCACCAAGAGAAAACCTGCCCAGACATAGGGAGAACATGCAAACTCCAGACATAATTTAAATCTTACTGCTCACCTATGTACACTGCTCACCTTTGGAAGAGTTTTAAAAAGTCCAGTTTGCAGAAACTCACTGTGGCCTATAACAACTCCTTGAAGCTGCTGCTGAAGGTTCCTCGGCACAGCAGTGCGAGTGAGATGTTTTCCTACTGTGGTGTTCGATCTTGTTCTGCATCTCTTCGTAATGTTCAGTTCAGATTCATGTGTCGTCTGAGGAACTCTAAAAATGCTATTGTTAAGACTCTGGTCAGCCCAGAGTTCTGCTCACTGCTGTTCTCCTCCAAATTATGGACTGACTGGAGGTCATGCCTTTATACTGTACAGCAGCTGTAATGTTCTCCTTTCGTTAACAGAATGGAAATGATTAACTGGTCCCTCAACGCAATTGATTCTATCTTTTCAACACGTAAGCGCGGGTCTGGAGAGCCCGTGTGCCCGGACGGGACTTCACCAGCGGGGTATACGCTTGACAGCTGGAACAAGTTTCAGCCCCTCTGTCTGTCGACCCTGTCCATTGAAGATTCGGAAGACGTATATATCTTTGGCATTTGGGTGGTGGGGATCCTCCTGTTTGGGTTTGGAGCGGTTCTCTTCTACCACAAATTCGGAGGCATGGCAGTTCGCAAGATTCACGACCTGCTGGCCGAAAAAATTGATGGGATGTACAAGGAGCTTAACCGAGTCGTGGTTGAGAGCGCTGTGGCTGGACAACGAAGAGTGGTGTTAGTGGAACAGTTGATCAAAGATCTCGCAGCTCGTTCACTTGATGGTCATAAGACTCTGGAATTGAGATTGAATGACATTGTCTGCCAGGCTTGAACTCTCTGACCCGGCTTGGATTTGCCCCTGTGTACGGGGTCTGAGGGCGCTGTAATTTGGTCTAATTGGATTTAATAGAATATCTGCCTGTTTTTGACTGCTAAAATGCACAATATTGTCCCTCGTTACAGGAGATGTGTTCTCTCCCTATTGTGTCTTCCCTCCTCTCTTATCTCACATTCCTCGGGCCAAGGCCATCATAATAAATCTGGACTCTACAACAATTTCACACTCTTTCAGTCAGTTCCAGCTTGGATCCCGCTCCCCCCGCCTCCCTCTGATCTCTCCCTCCCCTCCCCTCCTCACTGTGTTTCCGACTCACCCCCTCCCTGACCCCGCCCCCCTCTGACAGCCACATTGGACCGGCAGGCCGGAGGTGCTCATCCCGTGAAAAAAATCCGTGGTTTATACAAAGCACAATGTTTTCTATCCAACTGTCTGTTGTTACCTGAATGTTATTGCTCTCTGCTGTTTCTTGCTGCACACAGCGCCGCAAATGGCGAAGTGGCACGCTCTCTGCCAAGACAATTTCCAAGTGATAACTTTGTTACTCACGTGGCAATAAAAATGATTCTGATCTGATTCTGATTCTGATTTGTTTTGTTTTCCTGTATATATTTCTTTATCAATATGCAATATACTGTGTGTATTGGATATTGTCTTTTTAACTATGGACCGTGCTGTATTGTGTCCTTAATAAAGATTAATAATAATGGCCTGATGCTGGTCGAACCCAGGACCTTCTTGCTGTGAAGCCCAACCGCTAACCACCGTGAGCCGCCCAGACACTTGAACTTCTTCACTTGACCATGTTTTAGAGAATAATAATTATCTAATCTGTCATAATCCATGGTTTTTCACAACATCTGACACAGTCTTAAAGCACATGAGTGTGTAGCCTGGCCCAAACCAACCGTAAACTCCGGTCAATTATTATTTCCCTGAACGAATTTAAATTTTTACGATGGTACGGTAAGACCAGGCTAGTGACAGTGTAGGCATTACTTTTAACAAAACACAGTCAAGATTATAGAGTATAGAAGATTACATTCAAATTGTGTTCTTGATCTTTGAACCATGTCACCACATTGTTCCTCCTTAAAAACAGACCTACAGTTATTTTTAGATCCTTCCATTATCCAGCTATTTTCAGGAATTTCTGTCACTAACATGTATAGTAACTCCACCCTTTCTGTCTAAAATCGATCTATGCTATCATTGTACCACTATGACATCACACTCAGAGCAGTTTTAAAACAAAAATATTGCCTCTAAGTTGCTAGTAATTTTCAAATTAACAAAATATCAAATTAAATTCCTTCCTCTGGTGGTAGCGCAGGGAGCTACTGTTGTTTAACCTTAATACTTGTTTCATCATATATTTTCTACTTCTACGTCTTCACATTCTGATACATGTCTTGTCATAATTTTTAAGGGCCAAAGATAATGAATAATATTTTAGTTCTAGAGGAGGCTGCATTTCAGATTCATGCAGCTAAAATCTGGAACAGTCACCATGAAAATGTGAGACAGACTTCTTCTCTGACAAAAAAGTTCTGTTTAGCTACGCACGCAACTGAGGGGTTTTATATTTTTATCTTTCTTTTTAATGTGCTGTGATTATTTATGATGTTATAACCTTGTGTGACTGATTCTATCTTGTTTTAATCAGCACTTTGAGTTGCCTTGTGTGTGAAATGTGCTATACAGATAAACCCGCCTTGCCTAAAACAGTCGTTTAACCAGAAAAAGACAAACTGGGAATAAAAAAAACTATAATTTGCACTTTAATCAAAACACAGTGCCGTGCAAAAATCAGAAAGTATGTTTAGTGTCTTCTATAAATAATTAAGGGTTAGTCTTTTTACTTTTTGAGTAAAATGTGCTTGTTTGAAAGTCTCACCTTGAGTCTTGGTCCACAGCAGTATCAGAAGTGAAGAGAGCAGAAACATCTCGCAGCGATGGGATAATTTGAGCAGAAATTAACAATGGAAACTCGAAATGGACTGGACTTAGCTTGGTTTGTCGGAGATCTGTTTCCTGTTGAAGAATGTGGTTCAATGTAACCTGCTTTTTCACTGCAAAATACCACAAACTCACATACAACCAGTTTTGTGTTCTCTCATGCTGAAATCTTAAGTCTAAGCAAAACCACAAAGTCATGTTAGCACAGACATTGACCGGTTTCACTTTCTGAGAAATCTGTGAAATTCAAAGTGCATATATCTGTGCATGAACGGGATTCTAATCTGAAAGATCAATGACTTCCAACAGAATCTCACAGTTAGAGCTTAAGGAGGTCAAAAGGCTTAAAAAGGCCCTAAAGTCAGTCACTGAATGAATTCACATGATTGTTCACTGCTAAATGAATGTCATTCTGTCTTAGATTATAAATTACTTTAGCATTAGATTTGTTTGTGTAAACTCTCAGTCTACAGGGATTATTCTAAAGATTTCATCTCCAACTCGTGCCTGAGCTTTCATTCTCTTGAACTAGTAGTCGGAGAAACCTGCTAACTGAAGTACAGATGATGGGTGCACTTCACACCTACACCCTCCTTTGTTTTAGCATTAGATGTTTTTTAATATAAAAAAATCTTAAAGGTGACATTTGCAACTTCAAATATTTTATTTTTTTAAAGAATATTTTTGACCAAGTGAAATCACTTACTTTATTGTAAGTAATTTTCACAACAAATATATTTAGGACAATCCCTTGGAAAAACCACCACCAGGACACTTGCTTTTAGGAGAATGGGCTACATGCACGGGGAGGCGTGACGTCATTTCCTGTTAACAAAGATCAGCCCGTTCACTTCCTGCCTATGCTATCCTATGGCTTTTAGGTGAGTTGTAGTGACGTTTTTTAGTAATTAGATCGATACATTCAGCTGTGTGACTGACCCAAAAGTGTCGCTGTGCTTTCTCTCTGAGGTAGAGCTTTGACTGCGGCCACTCAGAGAGATTAGTTAACTTTATAAAAACACAATCAGCACAATCAAAGAGCACTGCTGTGTCCCAAAAATGCCCAGTTTACTCATAGTATTATTCCCGTTTGAGCATTATTTAGGAAACTCGTGTAAACCACTGCTGAACTCCAGTGAAACTCAAGCCGTTCCCCGCGCACAGGAAGTGAAGTGGGGTTGTAACTAAAACGTGGATGTGGTGCGTGCATAGAGCCCATAGTGAGGTGTCTATCAAGGATTTGAAATCATTGTGTCCAATCAGAACCCTGTGGAGGCGGGACTAACTTTCAGACACGTATAACCGCAAGTTGTTTGTCCCGAGTAAGCCGCCGTATGACGTAATGAACAGCTGGCAAACATGCACTTCCGCATTCCTCGGTTATTTTCTAGTGTATTTATGCAGGCTAGACGCGATGCACGGGTAGGCTGCCTTCCCGATCATCAAACTCGCTGTGTTCCCGTTTCTCTCCCAGCTAGAAGCTGTAGGCCGGGTAGGTTGTGGTTTGTTTGTGTTCGTGTTCTAGCTAGTAAATGTCATTGTTTTTGCTCGAGAGATGTCAAATTCTGCACTTTGAGCCTTAATTTGACCCTCTGAACATGCATGAAAAGTTGTAAAATTTTGCCCAAACATCAGACCTGGTGAAAAATTTGATATTTTGGTGTTTATTTTTATGGGACTCAAAAAATGCCAGAACAGCGCCACCTACAACAGCCAATGGGAGTTTCAGAGGTCAAGTTTGTCGTAGAGCCATGAAATTCGGTACACATGTTCCTCAAGTCAAGATACGACCAAAATGTTATCATGGCTCCGCCCTCTGACAAACAGGAAGTCCATAAATTTCACTGCAAAATGGATAAATGAACAGCAATCATTTTCCTCCATGTTGGTTGGAAACCGACTCCTCCTCGGCCGTTTTACAGATTCGCCTCAAAATTGCTCCACATCATCTCAACACATGTACCTTGAAAATGACCAAAGGGATTTTTGATCAGTGAAAACGTTGTTTGAGCAGCGGGGCGGCAAAATGTGAGTGTTTTTTGGCCGTTTTTCACAAACAAAGTCTGATTTGCACAAAACTTGAATCCAATGTTCAACTCCAGGGTTTAGGTCAGGTGAAAGTGAAATATTTGAAATTGGCCCAAGAGCGCCCCCTACAGATTGAGGCAAAGTTTTACATGGGGTGGCAAACAGCTCTAATCATCATATTCATTACAATTTGACTAACGTTCTTCTATGGCAACAGCAACAAATCATCACACGGTGGCCCCAGCTCCTTTGCACGGTAAGTAAGTAAGTAAGTAAGTAAGTAAGCTTTATTTATATACCGCCTTTCACAGACCAGAGTCACAAAGCGGGTTTACAATTGTTATTTTTTGGGCACTTGTCCTCTCACTCTACACAGAGATGGGAGCGGGGTCGCCGAACAGGAGGCGCATGCCAGACCTATTGTACATATTTTTAGTGGTAGGGGAAACCGGAGTACCCGGAGGAAACCTACGCAGACACGGGGAGAACATGCCACTCAGAAAGGCCTTGGTCCGGCCGGGATTCGAACCCAGGACCTTCTTGCTGAGAGGCGCGAGTGCTATCCACTCAGCCACCGTGCCGCCCGACCAAGCGCGGTGCTGCTTGGTGCGGCTTGGTGCGGAGTGGCGTGGTGCAGATCCGCTTGGTGCGGGGCGGCTTGGTGCGGGGCAGCGTGGTGCATGGCGACTTGATGCATGGTGGCTTGGTGCGGGGCGGCTTGATAAGGGGCGGCTTAATGCGGGACGGCTTGGTGCGGGGCGGCTTGGTGCGGGGCGGCTTGGTGCGGGGCGGCTTGGTGCGGGGCGGCTTGGTGCGGGGCGGCTTGGTGCGGGCTTGGTGCGGGGCGGCTTGGTGCGGCGGCTTGATGCGGGGCGGCTTAGTGCTGGGCGGCTTGGTGGTGCACGCGGTGCGGCGAGGGCCGTTCGACGCAGCTTGCGGCTTTAATTCTGTTTGTGTTTTAGACGCCGTCAAGTAACCCCATTGACCTGTCCGGGGTGCGTCAGCCTGGGAGGGCATCTTTATCTGTCAGCTCAGACAGTATTTCACTCTAGGTATTCCGACTGCTTTTATAAGGGTTCAATTGGGGATCGCATGTAGAATATTAATTTATTTGTTTCTTTTGTTACTACAGCTACATCTCGTTTTTATTTGGGTCTAATGCTAGGGTTGTTATTTAGTCAGGTACTGCATGGACGAGTCTGTACCCCTTACATTTGATTTTGAGTTAATTCTCTCTTTTTTTGGGTATTTACTTTGACCTGTATACTGTACTTGACACTGTTCTCCCTGTGCTCCAGGACTGGTTCAAGCGTGAATGCCTGCCTGGTGGAGGTTTGGTGATAGAGTTTCTCACTGCTGCACCATCACTCCCCTCGTGTGCTGTGGTATTTTAGCACTCACCATCACTGCATGTTTTAGTTATCCTAGATTTGGTTTTGCGTTTGTGCGTGTGTGTGTGTGTGTGTGTGTGACTGCACGTGTGTAGTGTGTACTCTGTCCCATTTACATATTTGCCCTCTGACCGCGTGCACCCACGGCCGACTAGTCCTGGCCACTCTTAAAAGTATTTGTTCAAATTAACCACTGCTATTTATTAAAACTAGCATTTTAATATAGCCTAAAATAAACATACATTTTTCATAAATTTCTATTAACGTGCTTTTTTTCCCTTTAGTAAATTAAAAATAAACCTTTTAAAAACTTTCATGGCATGTGTCTCTTTTAAACTTTTCACTGCATCCTTACCTGTGTATGATAAAACACCGTTCAATTTGGCCCTCCCCTGGTTACACACGCTTTAAAAAATTTCTCTAAAAATCCCAAAGTTTGGAAATTTACTGAGCTTCAGGTTAGATAGAAAAAATGAGGCCAACATGAGAATGAGCAACACTCCCATCTAGTGATAGAATTGGAGAATTCATTTCTGCTTTTTAATCAGAAATCAGAAATCAGCTCTGAAGAACTGAGTGCCTTCAGTTCTTTAGAGCTGAGTGCCACCGTGGACCATTGACACTTAGAAAGTCTTGAATTTAATGTAGAAGCAATACTTTTGAATAAAATATTATTTATGTGTTTCCTTTAGCTGGGTCACTCCCGCTTGAAGTAGCTCTTTTTGGATTTTGTATTTAATGGGATGTACTTTGTGTCTCATGAATATAATTTTTTTATTTTCTGGTAGTGCTACAATCCTCTCTGCAAACTTGTGCTAACAAAATGACTGGAGAGGCTTCTTTATTGTTATCTAACAATACTGAAAAATATGTATGTATTTTATTTGTTATAAATGTGTCTGCTGTTCACTGAAAATCCAGTTTTCCCTTTTGGCTGATGGCCGATAAACATTCAGGACAAGGCTTTTGATTGGAGCCATAAAAAAACGTTATCCTTGTTTCTTATCATTAATTTATTCCAAAGTCCACAAGCAATAAATGTTTTATGAAGGCATGATTTTGATTTATCAAAAACATAACCTTCCAAAAGTGAAAAGGTTGGTCTGATAATGTCTATGCCGTGTGTGTTTAGAATCCAGCAGGATCTAAAATAATCAAACTTGACCACACAAGTCCACAAGCTTCAATGAAACACAATAATAATATTTTGTCAGAAATGTCCCCACTGTGGGAAGGATAAAGCATCTTATAATCTTAATCTTACAGCACAAATAAATCATAGAAACAACATTTCAAATACAAAATGAAAATGTGGGGCTATTAAAATAGTCCAAAAAGATGGATGAATAATTCTAGCCTAATATAATCGATCCACTACTGCAGACAACATCAGGCTCTTTAGGCGCATTAAGCAGCATTTAATATGTTTGTCCATTTGACCTTTAAGTTACCCAGCAAGTTGGCACAGTAGGTTATTCCCCTTTAAACAATTATCATCAAATTATCTACATATCACATTCACAGATTGAGAAAAGCAAAGTCTGCAAACTAAAACAATGGGACAATTAAGTACACCTGAATATTAACTGTACCAGCTTTTTTGAAAAATAGCATTTTTTCCCAGGCTGCAATTGAATATAAGCCGTATATTTTCATGTTATAACGTAAAACTAATGGAGCATCACAAAGGCGATAGCTGACTGCTTTAACTGGACACTAGATGTTTATAATGATGAGGTGTTTTAATTAACTATGAACATGTCATTTTCAAAGTGCTAAATCCAGTCTATTTTGATATTAACCTTTCTTCTAAAATTGTCCAGAGTCAAAATAAAAAGTCCATAAACTCTGCTCTACAATAGCCCTGGTCACATAAAAACAAGTCTCGTGCATATCCCTTCTCTTTCCTTGTTTCATCTCTATCTACTGTTCACATAAACACACTGAAGCGGGAGCGCTGTCCAAAGTCTTCCTGCAGCTCAATAACAACACTCTATGTATGGGCACCAGGTAACGGCATTTGGCACCATACTGTACATGAAAACCTGCAGCTTATAGTTCGCCAATCACGGTAACACTCATGAATGACGGTGAATAACACAACTATAACATGGTCAAAATTTGTGAAAAGTACATTTAGCATATGATTCTATTTCACATGTTGGACATTTGAAGAAACCATAAAAAAGTACAAACTCCACCCCTTTTCTTGGTCTATATAACGTGATGTCTCTCAAGGTTACATTGCTCCATATCTTGATCCTACACACGTCAAAAATACATTACACTGTTTTTTTTTGGACGTTTCTGAGAGCAGCTTGTCCAAGGTCCATCCACAGAGTTCACACACAATCCAAGTTGGTCCAGGATGGTCCGGTCTAGACCCCTCAGACTGCTGCTTCTCCTGGTTTTATGGAGCCATGCACTGGAATCCCACAGCGAAGGTCAGTGATGTTCATTTGTTCATGATAAATGATGTTTACAGGTGCAATAACTAACTTTAGTGAGGAGGGGACATCATGTTCTTCAAGGAGATTTCTAACTTGTCAAAATATTCATTGACGCCTGTATTTAATCTCCAATGATATGAGCTGTGAACTTTTCCTTGTGATTTTATTTTCTTGTCTTCAATGAAAATCAATATTCCAGAAAAAAAGCCAATGCAGAAATAATAGGCGTTGTGTTTGCCCCTGAGAGTGCATGACCGTTCTTTTGACAAAACACAGAAAATATTAAGATCGAAGACTGAAGTCGTCATCAGTGTAATGATACTGACCAAACTCCTCCAATGTACAGGGAAAATATTCAATGGCAAATATGAAGTGGGTGTAGTTTAGCGTAAACCTGGCCAAACTTTATAACAAGCTAAAAATGGAAATTCACAATATTGTTTTTGTTCTACAATCGGTGACATTGCAGACAACGCTGCTATAATTCATGAAAAAAATATCAATTTTATCACTGTAAATCTATTATTTATATAAAAACACAAATTACCAATCGAGTTAGATTAGCTATTGGTTGGATTGGTTGAACACACTTGGATTGTACAAGTTGCCTTCTAACTTATGTGGGGCCTCTTGCATGTGAAAGCCTGATCTACTAAAGGTGCCACAGTGCATTTTCAAAAACTGTTTTAAACAAAAGAACAATCAGACACATACAGTAACTACATAGATAAGAACCAAAACACTGGTGAAATTGAACCATTCTATGTTTGGAGTGCAGAAAATTAAAAATAACAAAACAAATTGTCACATACTCTTAGCATGTAACCAGGCTTCTGAAACCACAATGGCACACAGCAGTTATGTGTGGTCATGCTCTCACACACACCGTTGCTTTCAGTAAAAATAACAAAACACATAGATTCAAATGTTATAGGCGTCATTTTTCATTAGTCTTTGCTCAGTCCTGTTTTAGTTCTGATCTGGATACTAAGTAATAAAAGCATAAAACAAAGGTTGGCTTTTGGACTTAGAAGCACTTCCCAGAGTCTAAAGCTAATAGACACTGAGTTTACTAATTACGCAGTGAACTTGACCAAGACTCCACTGCAAAATCCATTCGCAAATAATTATAATACAAAAATCTTGACATTTGTGGATACATTTTCAATCTCTTAAAACAAAATTTGCCAACCGGACAGGCAGAAATTGTCTCATTGGCATCTTGATTTTACTTCATTTGAAACATGATCTGATTTAATATTAAAATATTGTTTTCAGCTCTGTCCACACAAAGAGAAACCTCTGGCACAAACCGATCACCTGCCCAATCTGACCAAAGGATTTAAGAAAAAGATGGAATAGAAATCAGGGAAATATTTGTTGGACGTACAGAAAGTGTTCTGGATTCAGCAGCATGTAGCATTTCTTACTTTGGTGCCTTTAAGCTCAACATAAAAAACAATGTAATTTTGCCCTTCAACCACTAGATAGAGACATTTTACTGATTCATACCTCTATCCATCATATGTTTACCTATTTCTTAATAAATATTCTCTAGATCATGTTACAGGTCAGTCAACACAAAACCATGATATTTTCCGTGTGGGTGTGTTTCAGCGCCTCACAGGCAGGTGGCGCTGGTGGATGAGGCTTGTGAGCTGGCCTGCTCGGTGGACCAGAGCTCTAAAGTCATGGTCCTGCAGTGGAGTCGGCCTGAGTTGGACCGGTCCGGGTATCTCCTGTTCTACCGACACCCACACATCCAGAGTCATTACCAGCACCCAGACTACAGGGCCAGAGTCCAGCTCAAAGACCAGGGCCTGGACCACGGAGATCTGAGTCTGGTCCTGAAGAATGTCACACTGAAGGACTCTGGGACGTACGAGTGTCGACTAATGCTGGAGGACAAGATGTGGAGGAGGACAACTGTTCAACTCACTGTCATTGGTAAAGACTGAACTGGAACTGGTTCATGACTGAATTGGTAATAACTTGGACTCATGACTCTTCCTGTGCTGTTGCAGATGCTCCAGAGAAGAGAGCAGACAGAGTGGACAGAAGTCGTGTCCCACTTCCTGCTGCGGCTCTTCTTCTGATGATGTTAATACTGATGACTTTGTGTGTCGTGGTTTTAAAACGCCGGGCGAGACAGCCAGATGGAGCTCAGACTGAGGAAGTTTGAATATGTTTTTTCATGACGGCATTTATTGCCACGGCATTTATTGCCTAATGGATTCGGCTTAAGCCATAACTTTGTCTTTAGATATCGGCATTTAATTTATTGCCATCTCCCCTCTGGACTGCCACCTTAACGTGGTGGGGGAGTTTGAGAACTCGGATGATCCTGGAAGCTATGTTGTCTGGAGCTTTATGCCCCTGGTAGGGCCTCCCATGGCAAACAGGTCCCAGGTGACGAGTCAGACGAAGAGCAGTCCAAAGGCACCATGGACAGAATGATGATGAAACCCGTGATGTGACCCCTCCTTGGTGGAAGTACTGAATACTTGGAGTGGCTTCCCATTGTGGTGGTACCTCTCTACAAGAAGGGTGTGTTCCGATTATCGTGGGAGCCTACTCCTCAGACTTCCCGGTAAGGTCTACTCCAATGTACTTCAGAGAAGACTTTGACTGATGGTCGAATCTTGGATTCAAGCAGTGTGGTCGTCGTTCAGCTGCGGAACACTGGACCTTTTTCCTGAAATGAGTAGACGCTGCAAGTCATATAAAAATATATCCACATGGAGACATTATTATTTTTAGCCCCAACAGATATTTGTTCTTGTCTTGTCCTATTGGGAGAAGCCATTACTTGCTGCCTCTAATCCACTCAGACTAGAGTATAATTTGAATTATCTATCTAATCTAATCTATTGTTGTTTTTTACCCTTTTACGCCCATCCTAGAGTGGCCACCTAATCGTGGTGGAGGGGTTTGAGCGCTCAGAGTCTGAACTTGACTTGAGCCTGACTAAGAGCAATTCAACAAAATAAATCAGGACCAAGCCAGGTCAAAACCCAGTGAAGCAGCACTCGACAGGTCTGATCGCTGCTGCTTCATGAGCTGAACGGCTTTATGTTCAAAACACATTTAAAACTTTTTACAAATGAAAAGTGACCACGGGAAATTCATATCCCAATTTACAGTTTACGTTTTGCAAATATTTTCTTTTACGTGTGTGGGTGGGGATAGGTGGTGGGTGAAACAGGACATTTCTGAGCACTCAACCACGAATCAATGCTACATTCAACAAAGACTGATCTCACAACATTAAACTGATCCAGTAAAGTACTATCACGCTGTGAAATATAGTGAAGTACAATAGTTACTGATACCACTTCTGTGAATGACCTCTTGGACTTGTGCCTGTTACAGACATTGTTCAGTATTATTTATAAATGTATTATTTATATTTTGTATTTTTTTAACAGTGAGAAAAGTAAATAAATGGTACTACTCAATCTTTTCAGGCTTGAGAAACCACTTTGAGAATCAATCATTTACATTTTGATCAGAAATACTTCTTATCCCCAGTGTTATTTGTCATTTTTGTGGTATTTTATATGAAATGGTTATGTCGAATATCATGTTTATGGTCAATACAAAATGATATGAATACTTTTTCAATGCAGTAGGTTTTGTAGCTCATGACAGAGAGATAACTTTATAATGCACGTACATTTGCACTAAATAACTCAATAGGAAAAACTAGCAAGGGGGAGCATGTATCTAGTCTAATTTATAAATTAGTTTTTATTGTATAAAAACAAGTAACAAACGTGAAAACTAAAACAAATGTACCCCTACTTAAATCTTAAAACTAACTAGAGACCGCAATGATGTCCTCAGGGTTTTCTCCTTGGGTTCAAATCTGCAAAAACACATCACACTAAATCTCATTTCTAGCTAAACAAAAACATAGTTGAGTAGAGCACCTTTAAACAGCTTTTCAGTGGAAAAGTCGTGCCCATTATTATGATTAAGAGATCCTCTGTCGTCCCACAGTCTGGAAATGTCAAATATATATTAATAAAAATACAAAATATGGGACAAGGTCTATTATCCATAATCAGAGAACACATGTTGATTTAAAAAAATATATGTTTGTACATATATTATTAAAAGTAACATTTAGCATGATTCTTCAATCACAAATATTACGATTCTTTTTCAATATTCTTTATTTATACAGTGCCTTTCACAGACCAGGGTCACAAAACGCTTCAGTTACAAGAAGCAATACAAATTAAACCTTTAAATAAGCAAAGACAACTCAGTGACAATCATTACGACCCCAAGAACAAAGAGCCTGGACAAAAAAGGAACTCTTCAGTTGACTTTTGAAGAGGAACACTATTGAAGGCAGAAAGAGAGGCAGATCCCCCACAGCTCAGAGCAATAGCCTGGAAGGATCGGCTTCCTCTGGTCTCTCTTCCTGTGACTATAATATAAAATAAAATTCAATACATGCTTGAATGTGGGGTTTATACATTTGGACTAAATTACAAGAATTTACTTTGATTTCATCTGAGTGAATAATTAGACTATAAAAATAAGCAGTTTGCTGTAAATTCTGCAAAACCGAGAATCTCCTTCTAGTTTAGACCACAGCATGACTTCCTGTAAATGAAATGTATCAGTGTAAAACAATATACAGTGCCTTGCGAAAGTATTCGGCCCCCTTGAACCTTTCACCATTTCAGGCTTCAAACATAAAGATATAAAAAAAATATTATTTGTCAAGAATCAACAAGTGGGACACAATCGTGAAGTGGAACGAAATGTATTGGATAATTTAAACTTTTTTAACAAATAAAAAACTGAAAAGTGGGGCGTGCAATATTATTCGGCCCCTTTACTTTCAGTGCAGCAAACTCAGTCCAGAAGTTCAGTGAGGATCTTTGAATGTTGTCCTAAATGACTGATGATGATAAATAGAATGTACCTGTGTGTAATCAAGTCTCCGTATAAATGCACCTGCTCTTTGATAGTCTCAGGGTTCTGTTTAAAGCGCAGAGAGAACCATGAAGACAAAGGAACACACCAGGCAGGTCCAAGATACTGTTGTGGAGAAGTTTAAAGCCGGATTTGGATACAAAAAGATTTCCCAAGCTTTAAACATCTCAAGGAGCACTGTGCAAGCAATTATATTGAAATGGAAGGAGTATCAGACCACTGCAAATCTACCAAGACCCGGCCGTCCCTCCAAACTTTCATCTCAAACAAGGAGAAGACTGATCAGAGATGCAGCCAAGAGGCCCATGATCACTCTGGATGAACTGCAGATAACTACAGCTGAGGTGGGAGAGTCTGTCCATAGGACAACAATCAGTCGTGCACTGTACAAATCTGGCCTTTATGGAAGAGTGGCAAGAAGAAAGCCATTTCTCAAAGATATCCATAAAAGTTTGGTTTAAAGTTTGCCACAAGCCACCTGGGAGACACACCAAACATGTGGAAGAAGGTGCTCTGGTCAGATGAAACCAAAATCGAACTTTTTGGCCACAATGCAAAACGATATGTTTGGCGTAAAAGCAACACAGCTCATCACCCTGAACACACCATCCCCACTGTCAAACATGGTGGTGGCAGCATCATGCTTTGGGCCTGCTTTTCTTCAGCAGGGACAGGGAAGATGGCTAAAATTGATGGGAAGATGGATGGAGCCAAATACAGGACCATTCTGGAAGAAAACCTGTTGGAGTCTGCAAAAGACCTGAGACTGGGACTGAGATTTATCTTCCAACAGGACAATGATCCAAAACATAAAGCCAAATCTACAATGGAATGGTTCACAAATAGACGTATCCAGGTGTTAGAATGGCCAAGTCAAAGTCCAGACCTGAATCCAATCCAGAATCTGTGGAAAGAGCTGAAGACTGCTGTTCACAAACGCTCTCCATCCAACCTCACTGAGCTCGAGCTGTTTTGCAAGGAAGAATGGGCAAGAATTCCAGTCTCTCGATGTGCAAAACTGATAGAGACATACCCCAAGTGACTTGCAGCTGTAATTGCAGCAAAATGTGGCGCTACAAAGTATTAGCGCAAGGGGCCGAATAATATTGCACGCCCCACTTTTCAGTTTTCTATTTGTTAAAAAAGTTTAAATTATCCAATAAATTTCGTTCCACTTCAAGATTGTGTCCCACTTGTTGTTGATTCTTGATAAGAAATTTAATTTGTATATCTTTATGTTTGAAGCCTGAAATGTGGACAAATGTTGAAAGGTTCAAGGGGGGGAATACTTTCGCAAGGCACTGTATGTTGTTTGTTCCAGCAGAAAGAGTCTAGTACAAGTTTAGTGTGGTGAACGATTCAGACCGTCAGACCGATGGAACCAAGTAGTAAGTGTGTTTGAAAGTTTGGTAGCCTGACTATTGCTGCACAATATGCTAAAGGGAATCAATATGGGCATCACACAAATTGCTTTGGTATATTTATTTCATATTTATCTCATTCCTGGGGAGTAACATTGCTTTTGCGTTTTGTTAAATGTAAAAAAAAAAAATGTAGTTATTATCCACTGGTGTCACTGAATGTCACACCAAAGCAAACACATAGCCCAACCTGGCACTATATAGCCTCTCCTGTCTTTCCATGTGTCAATCACACTTTTCAGAACTCTGTCGCTGTTTGAACACCCTTTCCAGCCCCCATAGGTCCCCCGAGCAGTCGAAGAGCCCACGGGTGCATGTGGGGGATAGAAGAAGCCTCAGCACACAGCCACGAGACATGCATACAGATGGATTGAGGACAGGCGAGGGAGGAAAGAGAGAAGGGGGAGGCTGAGAGAAAAGAGGGGAGAGCTGTAGAGTAGATGGGGACAGGAGAGACGAGGAGTAAGCTGAGACAGGAGAGGGGAGAGGCGAAGTGAGATGAGAAGGCATTTTGGCACAAATGAAAGAAACCATATCTGCTACAGGCTAACAATAAATAGGGTCTTATTTAGAAAGTATGTTTTTGCCTGTATTTGACACCATAGCTCTCTTGATTCAAGTACATTTTGACAATGTAAAATGTGATTCAAAAAAGCTATTTCTCACTTGGAACGAGAACAAAATACGACACAGAATGCATTGTTTTGTTTTACAACCCACTTTGGTCCATCTTTATAAAGCAACTTGTCAAAACCTCCGCAACATCTGGTATATTTCTCACCGGCGGCACATTTGAAGCACACTGTAA